AATATTTACCTTCAAGACGAATGACATTTATATGACATTGACAATGGCTACAGCTACACAACAACGGAAAAATTATAAATGTAATTATGGCGCCCAACATTAAAGAAAATGAAACAAAATGTCAATCGTGGGATTTTCATCAGACATTTTGTTTTGTATTTTTTTTAATTTCTTCTCTTTTCGGGTTTTGTTTTTCTGTTTGAATTACTTTGTGTTGCGGAAAATAAGGTTAATTATATGAAAGGTAACATTTTGAAATACAAAGAAATATATGAAAAAAAATTATTTCGTATTCTTTTGTAATATGGCCACGCCATTTAGTAATCAAGCAACAACAATAATTTCTTTTGTATACACAAAGAATATTTTTGTTGTTTTTTGTGGTACTGAGCTTTAACGAAAATTTCATGGATTCACATTTCCTGTGAGTGGGGGGAGAACCTTAGATTTCATTTTGCAGATGTTTTGTTGCCGGCTAGAGGTTTGGGGTTAATATGAGTTGTAATTCAAATTAGAGATTTTTCGGGTTTTTTGTTTCAATATTTTTGATATAAAGAAGAGTGGTTTCGAATTTGGGGCAATTTTTGTTAATGGCAATTTTCCTTTATAAGTTTTTGTATGGAACTTTGAATTAAGAGGATTAAAATTATTTATCCTTTGATTTAGAAGAAAATTAGGAAAATTGTGGGAAATATTTTTTTAATCGTCTAAAATTGCAATTGCTTTATTCTGTGAAAAATTTAAAACAAATCGGTCAACTACTAATTACATTGTCCCGATATTAAAATTTAACACCCTTGTCCACATTTTCATAGAATAAAAATGTTACAATTGTGGGACTAGGACTATTTTTTTAACGATAAGGAATCATTACACAAGAGTTTAGATAATAATTCCTTCTCTTTAAAAAAACGTAGTCATTGGCCTACTATGGCAATATTTTTATTCTTTGTTTTTTTTTACTTTTAATTTTAATATTTTCAAATTAAGATCGAGTTATTTACAAAACATCAAAGGCCGAGATATCATCTTTGATAGCTTTTGGTTTATATCAATACCAACCCTCAATTTGATATGCTGGTGGCTTGTTTCAGTTATTTGATTATTTTTCTGCCATTGAATTTTTTCCCCCAGCTACCTTCAAATGAAATGACTGACCGACTGTCTTAAATACACTTGATAAATTACGCAAAAAATCTTATGAAATCATAAAGAAAACATTATAAATATGAGTTTTACACCTTGGATTATATTGGCCCTTACCACCTAGTGTTTTGTCCCCCAGATTTTTGGTCTTCCTTGCTATATACGTTTTTGTTTTCATTTTGCTGGACCTTTTTTTCTTCTTCTCCAAGAAATGAATAAGACTTTGTCTTAAGGCAGGCAATTTGGGTTTGCCGTGTATATTTTGGTTTTGGGGGGTAGAGCCACCATAAGCGAAATTACATTTTAATGACTCTGGCTTAGGAGCAACTGGCCAGGCCAGACACAATGAGAGATGACCTGTGTGTTTGGTTGAAAAAAAAAAAACCAACCAAATCTAAAAATATAATAAATTTCCTTATGGCACAAGGCGCCTTTAACGCGTTAATCATTTTTTTATTTTTAAATATATTTTTGTTGTTGTTGGGTTTACTTTGTTGTGGCCTTCATTTTCTTCGCCCCTTTGCAAATGTTTCATTTCTTTCTTTCTGTTTTGGGTTTTGGTTAAAGACAAAGTGATAAATTTGATTAAATTGATATTGTTCATCAAACTTCAAACGTCAAACACCAGTCTGTAGCGGGAAAAAATGTTAGTAGATTTTTTTTAGAAGCGGCATTTTTTATTCTTCAAGTTTTTTTTACTGCTTTCAAAAATATTTTGAAATGAAAAATCACTTGAAAGGCATTAAACACTGGCGGGTAAAAAAACGTAATAATAACGAGGCAAAAAGTATTTATGTGATTCAATGCTCACGCATCAAATGTTATTATACATATATATGAAGCTTAAAAAAGAACCGTCAAATAGTTAAAGCAAAAAAAAAAAAAAAACTAGAAATAATAAAAATGATTCAGAATTAAATAGAGTTTTGCGTTATACACTTTTATTCAGGTTGTTGTTGCTTGCTGTTGTTACTCTGGTGTAATGTTGTTTTGTGTTTTTTTTTTTTCATTTTGATATGAAAGCATATTGTAATTAAATAGCGATTAGGCCACCATTTTGGTATAAAGGCCAACAACTACAACAAATTTCAGTAGTTTTCGAACCCCTCTCCGCCTCTGAATGACCAACCAACCGACCACCATCACTTCCATTTCTTTAATATCCAAATACCATTCTCCATATTAATTTGACTGACAGACCGCCCGACCAACCGGCCAGGCATTTGTTGGGGCCCAATGTTAGAGAGTAACCACTAACATTTTGTTGTTTTTGTTGTTATTACTGTTGATGATGATATGAAAGGTAAATGGGTGCGTTTGCTTTGGTCTGAATGTTGTTGTAGCAAAACTTAAACTCAAAGGAAATCATTAAAAATAATTACATTTTATGGGGTTTTGCTATATAAATTAATATTACTTTTTAATTATGGTTGAATTAAAGAATAAAGAAAGGAAGAGAAGGGAAGGGAAAGAAATGAGAAAAAAATTAAAAAGAAAAAGAGAAATATATGTAAAGGCTAAATAGTAAAGACTCTGATCGCACTATTTTAGCAGAAATCAGGATCAACAGGTAAAAGATTTCTCCCTGACCATAGGGATTGTCAACTCAACCCACTAATATTAGGACTATTATCAGAAAATTTACCAACAGAAGAGAGCCCAGAGAGGGCTTTACAAATTGCCACATGAGAGTCGTTACAATCTGGTCAATACTTGCGAAAAAAATGTAAGTGTGTGAGTATGAAAGGACTTACACAAACTTTTCTCAGAGTAACTAGTTCCTATGATTGAGCAGAAATGTCCTATAGACAGTCATACGAGATTCTATAGACCAGTAATGCACAAAATAGTACGATAGCGGTTAGCCATCACCGCGTATTCTCTTTTATCTTTTTTTGGTCAAACAATACTGCTATAGACAATCAATACAATTCAATACTGCTATAGACAATCAGTTTTTATAAACAAAAGGAGAGAGTGCCAGGATCAAAAGAGAGTCTCCACTAGAAAACCAATAAATGTAGGAGAATATAGTAGTTACAGCAAAGGGGAGTCCTCAGAAGTTACTGAAGGATATTTTTATAGACTGAATATTATGGGATTCCTTACAGACGAACTGTAATCTGAAGGGAGGCTTTATGAAGTATTATAGCCTATGAAAGTGATGCTCATCCATGGAAACAGGTTACCCTGACTAAGCAGTCTACCACTGCGTTTTCTATTTCTTTAGGTGTTTCATATGGAGTTTTAAAATGCTCTGGTCTTTGGTTAGACAGATCACCATGTTTTACGCTCTTTTTCTCAAATTACACTCAAAAGGGGCACACGTGCGGGGGTTTTCTGGTCTTTTTAAAACTGGGTAGACAGAGCACCATGTTGTACGCTCTTTTTCACAAATTACACTCAAAAGGAGCACGCGTGCGGGGTTTTCCTGATGCGAATTTAAAACATCGCCAGGCAGAGACTAAAAAAATTGTGTTCTCTCATGTTAATCATTTTGGGAGTCAATGATTTTTCAGTTGTGTATGAAAGTAAAAAGATAATAAGGTTAGCCGAGAGCAGGCGTGCGGGTAAATGGCTGAACTAGATTTAAAACATGTTATTTTTATGCTAATGCTGATCATTTTTTAATTTCATAATTTTTGGCAGATTTTTTTTCTCGTACTTTTTTAATTTTATAAACATTATTTTTACTAATTGTCTGCATTATTTATATCATCGAAGTAGTGCATTTTCAAAGGAGTATCATAGAAAAATTTTATAGGAATTCAGGACAATGATTATCTGACTTCTCCCGTAGTTACATGAGATTCTGGGACTTCTCCCATTAATTAACACAATTTTAATTGGCAATTGTGAAATATTGAAAATTTCTTTTATTTAGTGAATATTTTATAGATGGTCAAAATATTGTTGAACCGTATGGTCATTGAAATGTTTCTTTTTTTTGCCAAATGTTATATTTACCACATCATAAATCTTTTGCGAAAATCACATCAAATAAAAATATATGTTTTTTTTATAAGGACTCATGTGATGTGGATGATGGTGTTCATCATTTTCATTATGTGACACTTGCATACAGAAATCTTGATTGATTACAAATGTCTAAGAAACCGTGCAAAGTGCATATAGCATTTCTAGGTAGCAGACCTAGAGGCAGCATCCCATGTCATCCACATCAAATCACAACCATTACAAATCCGCGTGGTGGAATGGTAACAGTTTTAATAAATGTCTTAAGGCTATGCATATAATTAGTTAAAGTTTTTGATTTGAATGTGGAGAGGGAGGGATGTTGAAGGTCTTCCCTCCTTAACAGCAGCACCACCACCACCAGCATATTATTATTATTCTTGTTATTCAGGCAGCGTGTTTGATGTTTTAAACGAAAAAAAAAATTAAAAACAAAATGCACGCTCCCTGCATTTGAGGAGGATGATGACTGTGTTATAATCCACATATGATTTTATATGGTGTGCTGCTGCTTCTTCCACTTTGTTTTTTGATAATAAGCATAAAATACCATTTTGGATTACAAGAAAGATGAAAAAGACAAAACGAAAGAGAAAATAAAGAAGCCCCATATTATTTTTTTCTTTCAAAAAAGCAACACATGTTGAGAATTTGACAAGTATAAATATGATTGGAGGCCATAGACTCCAGAAATGGAGAACAAAAAAAATTGAAATTTTTTTGTTACTTTTTTGGTTGTTGGTATAATATTTTGAGATTTTTTTTCAAATACATTTTTTTCTTTGGCATGTTTTTTTGGTAGTGTAATTGTTATATAATATAAAATTTTAAAGCAAATAAAATAATTTTCGGTATTTTTTTCAATTTCTCCCCCACAGAACGCAAACGTGGCCGTCAAACCTATACTCGCTATCAAACTTTGGAACTGGAGAAAGAATTTCATTTCAATCGTTATCTGACACGCAGAAGACGTATTGAAATTGCCCATGCCCTGTGCTTGACGGAGAGACAAATTAAAATCTGGTTCCAAAATCGCCGCATGAAGTGGAAAAAGGAGAACAAGACCAAGGGAGAACCCGGTTCAGGTGGTGAAGGTGATGAGATTACACCACCAAATAGTCCACAATAAAACTGCAGAGAAATTCAGTAGAAATTGGAAGCTGGAAATCTTATTTACTCTACATCTTGACAAAGAAAAAACCATAGGCAAAATTTAAAAAAGAAAAACAAATTTCTTTTGATTTGGAAATGAGAAAATTTATTTATTTTGTTTTGTAAAAAAAATATAAGCACACAATTTGGTTAAACATAATTTATGGTCAATACTCTTGATTTTTGAAATTTTAAATTCCTTAAAATATTAAAAACAATGATTGGAAAAAAATTACAGAAAAGGCAGATATTATTTTATAATGCGTTTTTTATAAAATTTTTGTTTTTGTTTTAGATATATAAACATAAACAATTTTAATATTCTAAAACAAAAAAATACAATTTTACTTAAGAACAAATATTAGATCAATATCTGCTTATGGCTTTCTTTGTTATTTTTTTATTATTATTCTCCTTTACCAAAACTATTTCCTACAATTTCAATATTTTTCATAACTTTGTGTTTCCTTTCTTACTAAAATTTTGTAAAAATATTCATTTAATTTAAAAAATTATAAAAAATAAATAATAACAGTAAAGTAAACTCAAACAAAACCAACTCATGTGACCTCAAATTTGTATAAGTTATTTAATGATAATTATACTAAACAAAAAAATAAGAAAAAAAGAAAAACATACACACAAAACAACAAAAAAAATTGTAATAATTTTTATTTATAATATAGCTATAAGTAAACTATTACATAAATAATAAAAAAACAAAACACAACAAACACCCACTTAGGCTTAGATTTAATCTTAGTGAAAGATGATAAAACAAGTTACTTATAACAAAAACAAACAAACAAACGAAAAACAGTTGCAATGTATAAACAAACAGAAAATAATAATAATTAATTAATAATGGTGTATTAAAACAAAAACAAATCTATTTATATTTATAAAAAAAAGAACTAAATCATAATTTAAACAAAAACAAATTGTAATGTATTAATATTTAAAAAGAAAAAATATATATATTATTAATTACCACAAAAATTTAACAAAAAAGAGCATGCAAAACAATAAAAGAAGGCGGCATGCACTTTTGTAAAATTTACACATTAAAACACATACACAAGCAAACCACACCACAACATACACACAATAAGTTAAATTAAAAAAAAGATTATACATTTAGACAAAGATATACCAAACGATATACAATAATAATTATTAAATAAATTTATTATAAAAAAATAAAAACAAAAAAAAACTTTTTTCTTTTCTTCAAAACACACATACATACAACAAATATTTTCTCCCCCAAACAAAGAAACAATTTAGCACAAAGAAAATAATTTTTGTTTGGTTCTTGAATTGGCTTTATATATTCTTAGATCCTGTTTCGATATCCACACATATATTTTAAGGAAGAAAATAAACAAAATGAACAAAAACAAACAAAAAAAGTATGATGAAAAAGTATATTACCAGGATATTATGTATACCGAATTAGACAAGTTAATCTCATTAAAAATCCAAAACAAAAAAGGAAATTTCCACATTCTTAATGAATGTTTTTCGTTTTGTATTATTTTTATATTTTTTTCATTACATTTCAATTTTATTTTTTAATTTTAACATTGTTTTTGTCTTTAGTTTCTAAAGATATTTTTTAATTTAGAAATATCTTGTTTTCTATTCAATACCAAAGTTTAAATAAATTTTCTATTTGTAGAAAATTTGTAAATAAAATTTAAACAAATCTACATTTGCCAGTAATATTAAATATTTTCAAATGCTGTTCTTAAGAGGGGTACAATGTTAAAAACAAGAATTTAAGTCCATTTAAATATTGAACACAATTTCTCGACATATATTGGACAAATGGCATGAACTTATTTGCACAAACAAATTTTCAGTGTTGTCTACATTAGAATATTTATTCATATCAGGTAATTTGAAGTTATTTTTAGCAGCCGGTTGTGATTTGCAGACCATCCACCATAATATTGAGGATATATTAAATATATGTGGTAATAAATTAAAAAAATGTCGAACTCAAATTCTCATAAAATACTTAGACGATTTAGACTTTAGACGATTTTTTTGGAATTGAAAATGGTATATATCCATCCATGCTTCAGAAAATTTCCCATAAACATTTTTAATAAATGTGGCATTCATTTTGCTTACAGCGTTTGTTGATATTAACCGTGGTTTGGATCAAGACTGAATCAGACTCTTTAAAAATGGTGAAGATTAGTCCAGATTTACATACCACTCTCATATATATTTTCGTTTGATTTGTAAATTGTGTACTATGACCGCTCTGACTGGCCGATCAAAAGGTACATATGAGTCGTTTATTTTGAAAGTGGCTTAAGTCAATTTTTTATATCATTTTGATGACAAATGCTGTGTATCACAGATTTCCCTTGCTACCCTTTTCCATCAGCTCTCTTCAGTATTCTATAAAAGAAGCTGAGGACTTTAGCTATTCTACAGAAGAAGAAGATGTCTTCACCTCTTCAATAGCAGTAGCCCAGGTCTTCAGCTATTCAACAGAAGAAGCTCAAGCCTACAGATCATATATAGAAGAAGCTCAGGTCTTCAGTTATTCTATAGAAGAGGCCAGGTCTTCAGCTCTTTTATATAAGAATTTTAAGTCAGCTCTTCTTTAGAAGAAGCTGATATGGAAAAAGCACAGGTCTCTACCTTTTCTATATTGAGAATTGGACCTTCAGTTATTTTCTGGAAATAATTGAAGTTTTCGGCTCGTATATAGAAGAAGCTCATGTCTTGAAATGGAAAAACACAGGTGTCTACCTTTTCTATATTGAGAATGGGACATTCAATTATTTTCTGGAAATAACTGACGTTTTCGGCTTTAATATAGAAGAAGCTCATATCATGAGCTCTTCCTTAGAAGAAGCTCGGGCCTTCAGCTCTTCTATAGAAGAAGCTCAGGTCTTCAGCTCTTCTATAGAAGAAGCTCAGGTCTTCAGCTCTTCTATAGAAGAAGCTCAGGTCTTCAGCTCTTCTATAGAAGAAGCTCAGGTCTTAAGCTCTTCTATAGAAGAAGCTCAGGTCTTCAACTCTTCAATAGAAGAAGCTCAAGTCATATTTTTTGACGGGTTTGGCAATGCTTTGCTTTTCCAAAAAAATAATCCTCTCTGCGCTTCCAAGGAAGTGTAAGGAAGGCCACGGGATAAAACACAAACGTTTTTGGAAGGCTTCCAGAACTGTTATCCGATAACGTCCGAGATTATTAAGCAAGTGAAACCGGAAAATCCAAAATACTATTTTTTTGACACGTTTCCAAACCCCCCAATATATCAAAATTTAGGATATCCCGTTATATGGGGGATACCTTAAAAACTAGGCCTATATTGACCATTTGTAACCAAATTGTTAAAATACTGCCAATTCTCTTAAATACCGTCCTCAAAATCCCGAAAATTTGAAGTATCGATATATGGGACTATACCAACCGATTTTCAATACCAATCTTCCTAGGAGTAGTAGCATTGTAAATGTAAAATTCAAATGGGCATGATTAAATGTTCTGATCATATGGGGCCATTATGGGGTCTTCTGTATTTGTATATGGTCTTCTGTGATTATTTGAAAACATAATGACAATTTAAATATATACTGAATCTTATAGTGGTAGATATGTACATGCTATTTAATTAATGTATTTATTTATAAAAAAATTAACGGACCACCCGAATATGGGACTTTTTTGGGAATATCATACATATAGCCACATTTTTCCAATAGAAGGGGTTTTTTGCAGGCATTTAAGTTTGTTTTTAAGCGGCATACAAATACAATTGATTAAGAACGGAAAATAATAATGAGATGGATTTGCATTTTCTTATATCGGAAATTCAGTTAATTTTTTCGCACCTAAATGCAAAAAATGAAGTTCAACATTGATCTGTCAATTCCCTATGTTTATGATATCTGCTGATCCAATACCACAACCGGCCTGAATTTCAGCCTTCTTACAGAAACGCATGTATCTGTATGTCATACCTGGTTGCCTAACGTTTCATTCAACAACGTGCATTCTCAAATATTTATTTGTACATCTTTTAAGACACAGCATTGAAAAATATTATTTTATTCGGCAAAATTGAAAGATTTTTGTATGTTATATACAAAATATGTAATTTTTCATTTTAAATTCCAACAAACAATAAAAAGGATGAATTTTAATTTAATAAAACCAATAAAAATGTAATAAATGTGATTGTTTCCTTAAAATAAAATAAAAAACAAACCAATATTATGATATGGCTATTGAATTTTGTTCTATTGTAATTGTGATGTAGTAAAACAATTGGAATTAAATCATGAAAAAAAAAATAAAAACAACTAAACAAAAATCTATAAAAAAATTGGTAAACCCCATTAATAACAAATATTGATTTTCAAAATTATTATCAGAAAATAAATTAACAAACATAAATTGATTTTTCAATAAAATTTAAAAAAGATTTGGCACCAGAAAAAAACTAATGTGAAATCCTCCCGAAAATACGTAAATCTTTAGGCCTATTTCTATAAGAAAATATCAATAATGAAAATAAAAAACAACAAATTATAAAGCATTTTACAAAAAAATAAAAAAGAAAACAAAACAAAATGAATAAATAGTAAACACTCTAAATGTATTTACATACAAAAATAAATTTAAACAAAATGAACAAATATTTGTAATATTATTTAACAGATAAAGAAAAACAAAACTACAAATAAACCTATTATTGTAAATATAATTTTTAGAATAAAGAAAATAAAAAGAATAAAAATATTAAAATATAATCAAAGTGTTTCATGAACCATGGGCGGACAAATTTTAGTTTTTTTCAAAATAATTAAAACTAGGGCGAACTTATAGAATTGAATTCCGCCAGGTTTTTATACTTGTCATTTTTATACCCTACACAACTATGTTGTCAGGGTATTATAGCTTTGTGCAGCCCCAAAAGTTTGCAACGCCGCGAAATATTGGTCCTAGACCCACC